CCTTCCCTATACCGCACTTTGTGGAACTACACGTGTATGTTGTTGTAAAAATACGAAGAGCAGGGGATTCAACAATACTACTCTGTATACATGAAAACAAAATTAAAAATTTGGCCTTGTATAGTATACTATACACATTGCAATTTTTCAGGGTGAGGGTGGCCTTGTAATAGTATACACAATGTTTCTTGTACTTTCATTACTTTTTCCTCGAAACTGCTTTGGACTGTTTTTCTTTAAGTCGAGGATCTGTCAGAAATAGCCTCTCTATCTATGAGGTCAGGTTAAGGTCTACATACATTCTACCTTCCTTATATCCCGCACTTTGTGGAACTACAGTGGCTATGTTGTTTTTAAAACATGAAGAGCAGGGGATTCAACAATACTACGTACTATGTATACATGAAAACAAAATCTAAAATTTGGCCTTGTATAGTATAATACACAATGCAATTTTTCAGGGAGGGGGTGGTTTGGATGAATCCCTTTGCACCCCTCTAGCTATGCCCCTGACTCGTAGTATGGTGAGAGTTGGGTTTAATACCAGTAGTGTCCAGGTTAGTAGTTGCAGACACCTCAACTAATCAACTTTATACCGGTAATCCGGTCAATTAAGGCTTAGGTAGATGAAAAGAATTCGTCGTTTCGTCTGTGTTGATTTTTCGATTGATGGTTCATAAGGTTGTTATATCAACTCTTGGACTATTAGTCTATACCTACCTCTTTCTGTTATCGCATTAGTTCGTTTGAGGAAGTGTTCTTTTTTCTTCTCTCCGCAGGAAAAAGTTAGAAACTTTGGATTTAAGTGATGGGAGATGTTTGTAGGTATGCAGTTGTTACAGGAGCGAACAAGGGAATTGGCTTCGAGACTGTTAAGCTGCTCGCCAATTCAGGTGTAACAGTTGTCTTAACAGCCAGAGACGAAAAGAGAGGAACTGAAGCAACATCCTTGCTGAATGAACAAGGATTTTCCAATGTTGTGTTTCATCAGCTTGATGTTCAAGATGCTCGGAGCATTGAGTCCTTAGCGAAGTTCATACAAACACAATATGGGAGGCTTGATATTCTGGTAAGAGCATGAATGGATCAATTTCTCGTGCGATCTTGAAGTAAATATAGGGAAGTCGATGATAAGTTTATGCAGGTAAATAATGCTGGAGCTTCTGGAGTTGTAGTTGATGAAGATGTCCTAAGGGCCTTGAATGTAGATCCTGAAGACTGGGTAAGATAATTTGCTCAATTCTTGCTTCTTGTTTTATTACGGATTTCACATGGTAATGAAGCGATATATGATTCAATACAGCAACAACATACTCACTGTAATTCCATAAATGACGTCTGGAAAGAGTAGGATGTTTTCGGGCTAGCTAATTGAAAATTTTGGTCCACAATCTGAGGAAAGTGATAGTCGCCTTGTGTGGTCTCTGGTCTTGCTCTGTACTAGTCTTAGAGAAACTGTTTTATGTTGTAACTCATAAGGATGAGATACAACAAACCTACCTGAGGACAGTGTCGGGAGCCATGATTTTTACTAAGGGGAGTCGAACTATAAAGAAATGAACATACGAAAGATTCAGAAGGATTCAACATTTAGTTTATATGCATTATATTTTTCTTTACCTATCTATATAATGTAATTTTCGAATAAAGGGGTGTCAATGACAAACCTCGGACAAGAGTGGATCCGTCATTGCATGAGGGTTATCCTATCCCTCCTTATCTCATCCCTAATCGCTACACCACCCTAGCCTCTCTTTTTGATACCTAGGAAAACACAATTTCTTATTTCGTAGTGATTTCCTTAAAGAGGAAAAAAGAAAAGATTCGTGATCGGGAAAGTTAGAGTAGCCAAAGCCATTGGAATTTTTTATTTAATACATTGAAGATATCCGCACCAGTGCCAAAAGTTCATCATGGATGAAAGGACCGCTAAGTCGGGATCACCAACTGATATAGTAATATGAAGTAATATATTAGAAAAAGAACCGTCTTTTTTGTATACTTTCTCTGGTTACATTGCTACTGCAGGCTTTACGCTAATCAGAATTATTATATTGATGTAAATGGGATTTACCTATATGATTGTTGTTGCAAACAGTTAGCAGGGAAAGCTGTCAATGTCATTCAAGTTGCGATGAAAACAACTTATGAGAGTGCCAAATTATGCTTGGACACTAATTACTATGGTGTTAAGAATGTTACTGAAGCTCTTCTTCCACTGCTGCAAAATTCCCCTTCAGCAAGAATTGTTAATGTCTCCTCCCTTAGAAGTGAATTAAAGGTAAGACCATCTTTCTGGTCGTTTCCTTATATAGAATTGCCAGAGCATAGTTAGTAGACGTTTTTGCACGGATTGCCCCTATTTCGAGGTGGTTTCTACTTTTTGTCCATGGTCTTTAATTTTTGCCCCTGCTGCTCATTTAATGATAATATGTTGAACAAAGTACCCTAGTATCCAGACCAAATTCGCTCAGTATATGTTTAGAGAGCTTTTGCCTATCATTTTCCAGTACTTGTTGTAGTGTTTAGAAACAAATTATGTGTTTTGGAGCATCACTCTGGTTATCAACACATACATATTCTTGTTCTTTTGTGCTTTAAGTCTTAGCTTTCGGGCTAGTTGTAATTTTGGTTGATATATTATCAGAGAATCAAACCTTCATTTTGTTTGATGTGTCGAGTTTATCCTTGTTGACTAGTGGTCAAGTCGAGAATTTCATTAAGAGTGGTCAAGATTTAATATACATGTATAAAAAGTAATTTTTACCATATATTTGGTATAAATTTTCTATGAAAGACGTTCAACTGATCACCTTTCATTGTATGTTGCTACACCACTTGTTGTAATAGCTTAAACTAAATTAAACAAATCTCCATTTCCTCTATACTGATCTTTGCTAACCACTCTCTTAAGGACCTTCTATCTTCCGTTAGACGATGTAGTCATGCTAGCTTTTTCAAAATATAGGGATTACATTTGCTTAAGTATTGGGGAGCAGAGTTACCTAGTTAATGCGATGATTTAAGGTAGAAGGTTGTTTGGACACCGTCGTTATCTAAAAAGAAGAAAGAAAATAAGCTAGATTTTCTCTTAATGGTAGCTTGTTATAATTCAAGGGATTGTATTGTAACTTCCAAAGGACAAGAACTTTATAATTCTCGAGTCATTTTCAGTCCGAAAACTAAATCATACAAATACTTTTTTGATAACCATGATGTCCGGACCAACTTGTTTGCATCCGGACTAATTCCATGAGATACCTGCTATCTCCTACTAACGTACAAGTACTCTCCTACTAACGTACAAGTACTGGGTAACTCTGACATATTAGAAGGATTTCTTATTGATTTTGTATCATTCTAATGCAGCGAGTACCAAATGAGGAGAGGAGAAAGGAGCTAGGAGATGTTGAAAACCTGACAGAAGATAAAATCGACAAGATTCTGCAAATTTTTTTGCATGATCTGAAACAAGATGCCCTCGAGGTGAATGGTTGGCAGATGATGCTACCAGCATATAGCATATCAAAAGTCTCACTCAATGCTTACACTCGAATTCTTGCAAGAAAGTACCCGAAAATGTGTATCAATTGTGTCCATCCTGGATACGTCAACACGGATATAAACTGGCATACAGGAACAATGCCTGTCGAAGAAGGAGCTGAAGGATCTGTCATGCTAGCTCTTTTGCCTGATGGAGGACCTACTGGTTGCTACTTTGATCGTACAGTAGTCGACGAGTTTTAGATACAACAATAACTACGCCTCAGTCCCAAATAAGTTGGGGTCAGTTACGATGTTTTAGATCAAGTCGTGAAATAAGACTATTTCTTTCAGTGTCTCTTGGCATTTTGGTTGAATTTCTGAGCTTGGTGTTCTACTGGTTGAATTAGTAATTGAAACAATGAGGGAAGCAAAGGATAAAATAATCAAGTAATGTGTTGTATTATATCATACTGTAATGTTTTAAAGAGTACAACATTTGGATAGATTGTATTGTTCTCTATCACATCAACAATTTGAATGATAAATCTAAAAGAAAAAGTAGGATACGGAATAAAGCTACTATTAAAAGATAGGTAGTTAAAGGATAAAATAAGAAGAAAATATTAAGGTAACGGTGAGATCACACCATATTGTTCGTCGTTACCTAATGATGGATTTAAATGATATGATACAATGAAATTTAAGTAACAATCAAAACAAATGTTATATCTAAACTATCAATACAATACAACAGGTACCAACCATTCATCAAGGTGTTAATGGGCGTATCAAATCCAAATGTGACAAGTAAAAGTGAACGGACGGAGAAATTACCATCATTAATAGCAAATGCCAGTAATTCATAACATTTAATAATGCCAGTAAAAAATGACAACATTGCCATAGAAATGCATTCAAACTGAAATGAATAATGATACTATATAAAGGAGTTACCAGTTAGAGGATCACATGGGTTTGCCTACCATAAAAAAAGGTAGTTTAAAGTGTTAGACAATAATACCCATGAAAACATATTTTTTTTACCAAATTTTTACTTATTAAATAGTAGATTGTTGATTTTTTTTTACTTGTAGCACTAGTATTAGCCCTATACTCTCCATTTACAGGTAAGTCAATATATTTTATCTTTGAAATGGGATTTTGATTTTTGGTCTTGATTGTTTACTTTGATGTTGCTGCTTAACACTGTTTAGATCAAGTGATTCTTTCCATCTGTTCAAGCCTCGGTAGATAGAGTTAGTTGATATCTATTGTTTCTTGTACCTAGCTCGATCATTGTATTATTTTGTTGTAGTTTATGTTATGTTATAACTATATGTTGTTTTTGTTATTATCTGTTGTTTCTTGTACTTCCATTATTTCTCTTTTTCGGAACTACATCCCCGAGGTTGTTATTTCAACAGTTGGACTATTAGTCTCTACATACCTCTTTCTTCCTATCGCGTTAGTTCGTTTGAAATAGTGTTCTTTTTTCTTCTTCTCCCAACAGGATTCAAAAGGATTACAGGTTAGAAAAATTGGACTTAAGTGATGGGAGATGCTTGTAAGTATGCAGTGGTTACAGGAGCAAACAAGGGAATTGGCTTCGAGACTATTAAGCAGCTCGCGAATTCAGGTGTAACGGTTGTCTTAACAGCCAGAGACGAAAAGAGAGGAACTGAAGCAACATCCTTGCTGAATGAACAAGGATTTTCGAATGCTGTGTTTCATCAGCTTGATGTTCAAGATGCTCAGAGCATTGAGTCCTTAGCAAAGTTCATACAAACACAATATGGGAGGCTTGATATTCTGGTAAGAGCATGAATCTATGTATTGCTCCTTATTCAATCTCGAGGCAAATATTGGACAGTTGCTGAATAAATTTCTGCACGTAAATAATGCTGGAGCTTCTGGAATGGTACCTGATGAAGATGTCCTAAGGGCCATGAACATGGATCTTGTAGACCACTAGACTGGGTAAGATAATATGCTCAATGCTTAGGTCTTGTTTTATAATGTGATTCAATCTCATATCTATTTGTGGGACTACACTGGATATGTTGTTGTTGTTGATTTCATATCTAATTGAAAATTTCCGTCCCCAAGCTTTGAGGTAGGCGATAGTCCCTGTGTGTGGTCTGATCTTTGCTCTGAGAGATACTCAAACTTGGCCTCAACCGGCAAGTATGCACTCCAACTTTGAGTATGCACATCTGGACACGTCCAAAATTTATGTGACGCGTCAAATCTAGTGTCCACAAGACATAGTGGGATGAGTTGAAGTGCTTACTTGTATATTGATGCCAAGTTTTTGAGTGTTAGTTTATATGTCCGACCCTAACTTGTTTGAGACTGAGGCGTAATTGTTTGTTATTGTAAACAGTTACCAGGGAAAACTTTCGATGACATTCGAGTTGTGATGAAAACAACGTATGAGAGTGCCAAATTATGCTTGGACACTAATTACTATGGTGTTAAGAATGTTACTGAAGCTCTTCTTCCACTGCTGCAAAATTCCCCTTCACCAAGGATTGTTAATGTCTCCTCCCGTAGAGGAGCTTTAAAAGTAAGAAAGACAATCATTCTCGTTGTTTCTGAACATTTCATAATTCTTGTTGATTTTTTGATTCTCACACAGCGAATGCCAAACGAGGAGAGGAGAAAGGAGCTCGGAGATATTGAAAACCTGACAGAAGATAAAATTGATGAGATTCTGCATAAATTTTTATATGATCTGAAACAAGACTCTCTCGAGGTGAACCATTGGCAGATGATGCTACCAGCATACAGCGTATCAAAAGTATCACTCAATGCTTACACTCAAATTCTTGCAAGAAAGTACCCAAAAATATGCATCAATTGTGTCCATCCTGGATTCGTCAACACGGATATAACCTGGCATACAGGAACAATGCCTGTTGAGGAAGGAGCTGAAGGACCTGTCATGCTAGCTCTTTTGCCTGATGGAGGACCTACTGGTTGCTACTTTGATCGTACTGTAGTCGATGAGTTTTAGATATAGCAATAACTACTCCTCAGTCCCAAACAAGTTGAGGTCAGTCGCGAAGTTTTAGATCAAGTTATGAAATAAGACTATTTCTTTCAGTGTCTCTTGGTATCAATGGACTCTTGTTTTAGAATGAAATAGGGGTAACATGGTATGACAGATACAGAATTATCAAATCGATTTTTTTGATGTTATGGCATTTGGTATGCATTTGTAAATGTTTTGGTATTTTATAGGCGATAGTCCCCGTGTGCGGTCTGATCTTGCTCTGAATTAGTTTTAGAGGGATTGTTTTTATGTTGTAAGCCATAAGGACGAGATAGAACAAAACCTACACGAGGGCAATGGCGGAGCCATAATTTTTCTAGAGGGGAGTCAAAATATAAAGAAGAAAACATATGAAAAAACCAAAGGGATTTGACCCCGGTGTATAAAGAAGCGACCCTTTAGGCCCTTGTGACACGTTTTAAAGTTGTGTGTGCCTAGTCCAAAGTGAACCATACAAGATATTACATCCATAGTCCTGATGCTCAATCCAACATGTGAATAGATACCACATAAAGATTCAACAACTTCCCCTTCTCGACTTGAGCAGAGAGACCTTCGAAACTTTTTCACTTCCCAAATAATTGTTGAGCCTTGTCAAAATCCTAACAATGAAAAAGTAATATATTTCCTTCTAATCTATGACCAAAATGTACAGTATGTTTCTTGTGTGTTACGTTAAACAACTTTTTTTCTCATGTACCTTTGGGTTTCATTAGAGCTGATGTTCCATTTGCAGCAAGTCATGCTTCATCTCAAAAAAGCCAAGGTAGCGGCTGTACGACTTGGAAATTACAACCTCCTTACTGAAAGCAATTAAAAAGACACGTTAGAATTCTTAGCCAATCCGCGTATTACAATTACAGACCTTCCAGCACAAGAAATTAAGGAGAAGTTCTGGGAAAAGAAATGTCAGGACCACCTTTAAACCATCCAACATTCATACTGATGTAACATAATCTTGTAAGAGTTTCTCCATACCTTAGACACGTTCTTTTTATATCCCAACAAACAGATGTGGCGGTGGCCATTGTCTCCTCGTAATTACACATTCCCATGGTTGCACAAGCTACATATGATGTCTTGAGTATAAACCAACCAGAAATGAGAAACCAATCCAATACCCATTCAAGTGACTATCCGTTCAGTAGAGAAGTGCAGCAGAACTTTCCTTTTACCAACTGATCGAGCTAGAGAGGTAACTACTTACATATATTGTTACCAAATTCCTGACAAAGGAAAAAAGTTTGCTTAGTTGATATCCGATAATCATTAATAAAAACCTGAATAGTGCTTGATGCTTTTAGTTGTTAAATTTATTCCGAGGCAAGCATTTGAATTTTTGATACATAGGAAACAAACCTTGTGTATGGTACACCTTTGAATTCTATTAGAGCTTTGAATTCGATATTGAATAACTCTAAACTCACTGAAAAGAGAAAGAACAAGTATACATGAATTTGCTATTGAGATGAAGATTGATAACATACATGTTCACCAATATTACACTAAGCTATCAATTTTGTGGAGCAAATTATTTTAGTTCCTATCTATACTAGATTTCGTTTTACAGTGTTGATGATTTCTCAGCTCAACAAGATTTCAAAAAAGTAAAAGAGTTGACAAAAAAGCAAAGGGAAGTAAACAAAAATAGAAAGCTTATGAGGAAAAAGAAAACCTTACATTTGTGAGAGCACCATTCGTTTTAATCATTGAAGGCATTCCTCATCGATCTCTATGGTGGAATATGAGCAATTTCTGGCCAATATTCCCCCTTGTCAAATTTTAGAAGTGGGTTGTGGAATGAGCAGTTGGAAATAAATAGTGCAGAGAGGGTAGAGGGCATCCCTCTTACTGGAACGGATTGGAGATTATGGGCAATCATCGATGGTCAGCTCAGAGAGGGATCGAGGAGGGCAGTGCTGATTCGGAAAGTGATTGGAGATTAGGGCAATCACTGATGTGTAGACATAGAAACGAAGAGCGGTGCCAAAGACCTAGTGATATAAGCATTACTACAAAATAAGCATCTTGGTAACTGAAACACAAATAAATTATTATTTTGTTATCTAACCTTGAATCATCTCGAGCAGGATATATACTTCCTTGACTTGCTGCTAGCTCTGAGGTGTCACTCGAGGTTGAGTAATAGACATAATTTGAAGGAAACTTCATAATCTTCAAAGTTATCTGAATATCAAAACCAAAAAACTGATGTAATATTCTGGATATTTGAATATCAAAACAAAACAAAAAAACTGATGTAATAATGCAGTGGCATCAAACTTGACATCAATGTGGTACAACATGGCGTAAAATAATGGAAGCAGATATTCAAAGTTGTTTTCAATATCTTTAAATTTGAAGCTTGATGTAACTTTTATCAAGGTGCTGGCTACCTAATTGAGAAAGAGGTTGCATTTCTTGGACCCTTTTTCTCCAAAGGTGATAACATCCTGCTAACATATACTAAGCAATCAATTTTCTTGAGCAAATTATCTCAATACTAGATTTCTTTTACAAATATAATATAAAGATTTCATCCTGATCTAAAGATATTCCGTTGACTTCACAGAAGCAATAGATGGTACACACTGGTCAAAAAGAATTAACAAACCATCAAAATATACTAAAGAAATAGAATAACTTGTGAAAAAGTTAAAGTTGATTTTTTGGAATATGATAGGTCGTTCTAGTAATGTTTCTAGAATAGTCTAGGATAGTACCTAGGATAATTATCTTAAAGAAATATCAAGATATCTAGAAGATGAAGTTCACAAGATTTTTCTTGTAGAGGAATTAGATATTTGTAGAGAATTATGGAATCATCCATATATAAATATAAATAAGGGATGGTATTGTACATTTGTAAACAACCCAAGAACAACCAAAATCAAAGAGTCTTCTTATATAACAAAGTTTTCTTATTCAAAATATTTCTTCTCCTTTCTATCTTCCTCAACGATCTTGGGCTAGCAGAAGGTTTCCCGATTATACTTTTCTTCTGCTATTCTCTACATAACTTACATCTATGAGAGCAACACTCGTTTTAATCATTACAGGTTTTCCCAATCAACATTTATGATTTGAGCAGCAATAGACGTTCCACACTGCTCAACAAAATTTCAAAAGAGTAAAAGAAACAAAGGGAACTTACATTTGTTTTAATCATTAAAGGCATTCATCATTGATCTGTATGGTGGGGATATGAGCAATTTCTGGCCAGTATTCCCCCTTGTTAACTTCTAGTAGTGGTGTGAGCAATGGACAGCTGTGAATATATAGTTTAGAGAAGGAAGAGGGCATCCCTTTTACTGGAAGAGATTGGAGATTAGGGCAATGGTAGATCTCCAGCTGAGAGAGGGAGGAGGGCAGTGCTGATTCGGAAATTAATTGGAGATTAGGGAAATTCACGATTTGTAGAGTTTGAAGCGAAGTGAGGCGCGAAAAGGAGGAAAACTGGCATTGTTCCAGCATTGACTGAATTTGAGGTAAATTACCCTGAATAGATAGATATTGAAGAGAGGTGAGGCTTTTGAGATGTTGGCTGCTTAATGTTTTCAGATTGTCTATACCAAGTGAATGAATAGAGGAAGGCAACTCCCAATGTTCAATCTCTTCGTCACTGCCATCATGGTAGATGCTTAATTCTCTGAGACAGGGGAGTCGCCACTCCTTTCGGCCGTTCACCAGTTTCTTGCACTTGCTGATAGAAAGGACTTGTAAATTGAAGGGCAATCCTCCTTCAGGAAAGGACTCTATTTCTGGACAATTAATCAGATACAGTATCTTAAGAGATGGAAAGAGTTCCTGCATACGTTCTGGCAGACACTTCAGCTTCTTACACTCCCAAATATGCAAATACGTCATCTCGGCCCCCCCCCCCCCACCATGCAACCGGAAGTTTTT